AAAAAAAAATTACACACACTTTATCTTTTTAAATACTAGTTTCTCCTAAGATTAATACCATTAGAAATATCCAGAGCTGAGATGCCTAATCAGCACTCTTGTCTTTTGTGAATGTAAACTCTAGAATTAAATTCATCAAGTCCCTGGGTTGTGCAATTGAAATACTATGGAAATTTGGAAAAGGTTCAGTTTACTCATACTTACTAAACGATCTTTAGAGCTTCAATAGTACTTGGTAAAGGGGATGAAGTATTCTAAAATGAAGGGAATGGATGGTATATTCACACTACTTCAATTCAGGAAGGGAATAGACAATCAGATTTATTCAGTAATTTCCATTTCTAGCCACTATGTATTTTGTCCACATTATACATACATTAAGAATATTTGCTCAAAAACTAGGATTTTGGGGGCACCTGGGTGGTTCAGTCAGGTAATTGCCCAACTCTTGATTTTGGCTCAGGTCATGATCTCAGGGTCATGGGATTGAGCCCCACATAGGCTCTGCACTCAGCAGGGAGTATGCTTCTCTCCCTCTCCCTTTGCCCCTGCTCTCTCTCTCTCAAAATAAATAAATAAATCTTTAAAAAAAAACACTTCAGGATTTTAATTTTACAAAATCTTTCCTGTTGTTTACCTATTTAACAATGACAGCCATAAGACCATAAATGAAATCATCATTATACATGGCTAATTTTGCAAAAACCTTGGACTTGAAGGCAGGCACATATATAAATAAGTATAAGATCAACTGTAATTTAAAAAAAAGATCTCATTCTCAAATGGATGCCTTTAATAACTGCACCTAGATCAATGTGTTAATTGACTCCATGGGAGAAATCCTTTCATGCTGTATATCAAATCATCCTGTTGTACCATTAAAATATCTTACCATGTTATTTGCCAACTAGTCCTCAAGAAGGCTGGGAAAAAAACAATTGTACCTAAACAACTTGAATAATATTACAATTTTTTAATGAGTTATATTCAACTAAAATTAACAGGATTTCTACATCTTCCTAAAACCTATTTCTATTAATCCCAATCTTGCTGCAAACACAAAGAATTTCGAAGAGCATACTAAAAAAAATAGACAAGTTCATTTTCATATGTGGTAAAAAGCATCTTTTTAAAAAAGCTCATTAAGGCAGGGATTAACAACTAACTTTTTTTTAAAAGATATTTATTTATTATTTATTTATTCATTTTAGAGCCAGAGAGAGAAAGCACATGTGAGAATGGGAAGGGGCAGAGGGACAGGCAGAGAGAGAAACTCAAGCAGACCCCACACTGAGTGCAGAGCCCAATCTGGGGCTCAATCTCACAAACCTGAGATCACAACCAGAGTCGAAACCAAGAGTCGGACGCTTAACCAACTGTGCCAGTCAGGCGCCCCATAACTATCTTTTCACTTTAATCCTAACCTGTCCCCTTTCATCGAGGCACATGGGCACTTCTCTGCTTTCTCAGTTAGTGCCATTGTATTTTCACAGTAATGTCTCAGGCTAGGGAATTCTGATACCATAATCCAAGAGGCCGAACTCCCATGTCATCAACATAGCTGCCAACGTTCAGAGAACTTGCTCTGGGCATCCTGTTCATTGACTTAGGAAATCCCATTTCAAGAGAATCTTGCCTCATAAATCAGTTCTGATCTTCTCATTCTCAACGTTACCAAAAAATCTTTGGCTATAGTGGCCTAATTTCTGAGTCTAGAATAAACACTCACTCAAACCCTGCATCCTCAACCCACCTGTTTTACCTTTAAATTTCATTAAGCCTTTTAGTACCTTTTCACTGAAACTAATATATCCTAGATATGGTTAGGAAGAAGCATATAAAGCCTCAGGAAATTTCCCAATTAAGTGCAACTTTACTTTTTTGCTTAAACAACCTGCAAAACGTTTTGCCAAGAGATCAAGGAAACATCCTATAATATAACTACCTTCTGAAGAAAAAATTATATCCATGCTTTAAAACAAGTAACATTACAGCAATAACACTGCTACATTAAACTACTTAAACTAATGATGGCTAAGCTATACCAGGAACTTGCTTGGGTTTCATTCATTCATTTATTTATTCATTTATTCAACAAATACCTCTTGAGTGTCTATTACATGGCAGGTCCAGTCTCTGGGGAAATAGCACAGAATACGCAGCAAGACCACTGTTCTCATGGACTTTACAGTCTAATCCAGTAAAGGTGGCAACAAATAAATAAATAACAAAGAAAATATTAGCAAGAATTTTCTAGATGTTGATAGAAAATGGCTGGGAGGCTACACTAGATGGGGCGGTCAGGAAAAATATTTCCGAGGAAGAGGAGGAAATGATTGGGAAGCAGCACTGGGAAACACAGAAGACACACCCACCTTTCCTACAGGGCCTGAGACATGTGGGTTAGCAACAGAAAAAAATTTTTTCCTCCAGAAGGTTCCTGGGAGGTAGTGTTATTGAATGATAGTCACATTTCAGTCAGGTTTTACAAGAAGGTAAAGAGAACAATCAGAGAATAGGCTGAGAGTATGTGAAATTTACTGAGGAGATCCCGAGTTCCCAGGAGCACAGAGGAAAAGGTTGAACTCGTGAGACTGATAAATAATTTCTTTTTTTATTAAAAATTTTTTTTCGAGGTTAATAAGTAATTTCTGAAGTATTACCTGTTTATCACCTTACCTGTGTTTCCTTTTGCAATACACCAGAAGATTATCAAAAAGAAAAAACACCCGTTCTTGAATATTTCCAGAAGAAATTTTCAATAAGACGCCACACATTAGCATCTCAGTGCAGGTGTCGGTGACGTTGGATCCCTAGGTCAAAAAAAAAAAAAAAATGGAGACAATGTTTGATTACTTAACAGAAACTTCTGTGTGTAATTCTACTTCTCCTTAAAAGTCTGTTTGTTTGGGGCGCCTGGGTGGCTCAGTTGGTTAAGCGACTGCCTTCGGCTCAGGTCATGATCCTGGAGTCCCTGGATTGAGTCCCGCATCGGGCTCCCTGCTCGGCAGGGAGCCTGCTTCTCCCTCTGACCCTCCCCCCTCTCATGTACTCTCTCTCTCTCATTCTCTCTGTCTCAAATAAATAAATAAAATCTTTAAAAAAAAAAAAGTCTGTTTGTTTTTATTTCAAGATACAATATATGGACAGAAGTTGAAACACCATAAATATTTATACATTGGATGGAGGTCTCCTTGCCTCCCAGACTCCTGGTCAGTCTGAGCAGATACAACTGTGGCTAAGAGATTCTGTGTCTTCTTTTAGCTTTCTTACACATGTATGCATACATAAACATGGATGATACATGTTACTATGTTCTTTTAAAAGGAGATGATTTCAAAGTGACGCATAACATTCATGTCCCTAGTACTTCTCTCCTCCTCCTCTCTTTCCCTGGTATGGGAAAAGAGTTCCATGGATACATCACAAAGTACACAAAGTTCTCTAAATTTTTAGCGGGTCTCAATTTATTTATCCACTCCTAGGATTGATAGGAAGAAAAAAGAAGAAATTAAAGGGGGGGAAAAAAACTATTTAAAGAGAGCAACCTTCCATAGTCTTTTACCCAAGTTAAAAGTTAGCATAGGCATGCTCATTCATTAAATAAGCCTTCACTGAGTGCACACTAAGGTCAGATGATTAGTGACAAAACTGGGTCTTAACACAAGCGCTAACCATTGAGAGGAGCCACAAGATGGAAGGAGCCTGAATTGCAAACAGAGGAAAGGTGCACAATGAAGCAGAGCACAAGCATTGGATTGTTGTGTGAGCTGATCAAAAACATCTAATTTGGGCGCCTGGGTGGCTCAGATGGTTAAGCGTCTGCCTTCGGCTCAGGTCATGATCCCAGGGTCCTGGGATCGAGTCCCGCATCGGGCTC